ATATTTAGCGCCAAATGTGGAGATATAGAGGAGATGTGCATCTCTTTGAGGGCTACCTTCGCGTCGGTGTTATTGCGGTCGTCGACCAGAATGTCTTTGAGGAGCAGATGAGTGCCTCTCTCGAGGTTCAGTAGTTTTAGCGCTTCATTAAGTGTTGCGAAATGGAGTTGAGGTCTCGTTATATATAGTCTGAAAACAGACAGCAATCCAACCGATATGTCGTAATCCATTTGTTTGGCACCAAATTCATTGAATGAGTTCTTGAGAATCACATCTTCCAGTAAACTTCGATTTATCTGATCCGCCATTTCGTGTAAAATGGTGTCGAATAAAGTGTTTGATAAAGATTTTTGCAATGAGACTAAGTTTGTAGATATAAAGTGCAATAATTGCGAGGCATTAGGACTCAGGCAGTTGTCTATAGATTTAAGACAAAACCATTTGGTCGACTGATATGCCTGTAGTTTATCTCGAAATTCACTTAAAAATAAAGTTTTTATTTGGAGAATGAATTCATTCAACACGTGTTGAAACAGTCCTATAATTGGGTCAAAGACCGTCTCATTCGGTGAATATGTTTCTGATATTTGCACAAAAAATGGCAAAATCTTCCACTCATTTAAGACTACAATCAAGTAATTAAATGTATTAATAATAGCGAAGTACTGCTGAGAGTGCGGCCACGACTGGTCACTCGTGTGGATCAATTGGATGAGTCGCAGTCGGAAGTCATCCAATATATCGAGTTGTAATCTCACGAATGAGTACTTCAGTGAGTTATCCGTAAACAGAGAGCACCGGTTGGTTATGGACTGAAGCATTAGCACAAAGTTGTCGCCGCACTCACAGATCCGCAACTCATCGATGCCTTCGTGGCCACACATCTCATTCCATGCGCTCTTCGATGAGACAATCAATTCAACAAATTCTGTCGATTTCTTCTTCTCCAGAGTTATGATTCGTGTGAAGAATGGCTCACAAGAGAAGACATTCATTAGATTGCAATTCGGAAACACTTGATATATATTGGGCTCAATGTCTAAGAGCTCGCGACTAAAGACCAACACTTCATCGACGGTATGCGTGAAGAGTTTGTCATCGAAGACAAGTGAAGGCAAATCGTGTTTGAGTTTAGCGGTCAGGCATTCAATCAAACCACTAATCAATTGCAGTTTCGATGGAACCAATTGACTCGAATGGCTTCTTAGCAATGGATCAATAGTTTGTGATAAGAATGTCTCGTTTTGTCGAATCCATACCAGAGTTTGCGATAAATACCATTCGGGCTAAACATATGGAGTAAATGTTTGGATGAAATAGATATCAAGGAATGGATTAACACCTGAAATACCTTTTCAAGTCTATTGAGTTTGCTTTTGGTTTCCATGAAATGGTATTGAAATCGCTTCTTAAGCGGAGTTATCATCACTTCAATGGGCAGAAGAAGGTCTGAATCAGGTGTTTGTGACAATCGTTTGCATTGCATATCAATTGTGATTAAAGCGTTGAAATACNGATTGTCTCATCGAAGAGCGCATGGAATGAGATGTGTGGCCACGAAGGCATCGATGAGTTGCGGATCTGTGAGTGCGGCGACAACTTTGTGCTAATGCTTCAGTCCATAACCAACCGGTGCTCTCTGTTTACGGATAACTCACTGAAGTACTCATTCGTGAGATTACAACTCGATATATTGGATGACTTCCGACTGCGACTCATCCAATTGATCCACACGAGTGACCAGTCGTGGCCGCACTCTCAACAGTACTTCGCTATTATTAATACATTTAATTACTTGATTGTAGTCTTAAATGAGTGGAAGATTTTGCCATTTTTTGTGCAAATATCAGAAACATATTCACCGAATGAGACGGTCTTTGACCCAATTATAGGACTGTTTCAACACGTGTTGAATGAATTCATTCTCCAAATAAAAACTTTATTTTTAAGTGAATTTCGAGATAAACTACAGGCATATCAGTCGACCAAATGGTTTTGTCTTAAATCTATAGACAACTGCCTGAGTCCTAATGCCTCGCAATTATTGCACTTTATATCTACAAACTTAGTCTCATTGCAAAAATCTTTATCAAACACTTTATTCGACACCATTTTACACGAAATGGCGGATCAGATAAATCGAAGTTTACTGGAAGATGTGATTCTCAAGAACTCATTCAATGAATTTGGTGCCAAACAAATGGATTACGACATATCGGTTGGATTGCTGTCTGTTTTCAGACTATATATAACGAGACCTCAACTCCATTTCGCAACACTTAATGAAGCGCTAAAACTACTGAACCTCGAGAGAGGCACTCATCTGCTCCTCAAAGACATTCTGGTCGACGACCGCAATAACACCGACGCGAAGGTAGCCCTCAAAGAGATGCACATCTCCTCTATATCTCCACATTTGGCGCTAAATATAATTCAGAAAAGAATTTACGAGAAATAGCTTTTATTTAAAGAATAAATATTTTTACAGTACAATCATTAATATAATAATAAATAGGTTTTATAACAAAACATTTAAAGAGCGCTAAAATAGAGTTTTAAAACATTTTCATTGTGTGAAACCATTACTAAATGATATTTAAATAACAAGTCATTGTAAGCGATGTTTAAGAACGAGTCAATAAATAGCGAAATAAATTAAAGACTAGTTTTCAATACCGTATTATTAATACAATAAAGATTTTAACGTAAATTTGATGCAAATTTAAACGAGTGCTGTGAAGACCTTAATTCTTATTGCCATTAATTGCCTTTAAATTGTTTCCATTGCTTCCGTTCACACCATTACCATTGGAATGATTTCCATTGGAGACACCATTTTTGACAGCAACCACTTCACTGGTCTGATAGCCCATCGGATTCTTTGACTGCCATTTCCAGCTGTGAGCGCACATATCCTTCAACGATAGCTCTGCCTTCCAATTGAGTTTGTCGTTAGCCTTCTGGACGTCAGCCCAGAGCTCATCGATGTCTCCCAAACGTCTGTCAACTATTTTGTAGGGAATGTTCACTCCTGTCGACTCCTCAAACGCTGAGATCACCTAAAATAGTGACCAAAAACTCATGAAACTATTGGAGACAAGAACTCAAACAAACGATGTATACATACATCGAGAACAGAATAGCCGCGACCGGCGCCCAGATTCAAGACATTCCAACCGTTCCAGTTCTCTGCGAGCATTGTGTCCAAAGTCATGACATGTCCTTTCGCTAAATCCATAATATGGATGTAATCGCGAACACCAGTGCCATCGCTGGTCTTGAAGTCATTGCCAAACACATTGAGATAAGGTCTGCGCCGAACCGCCACTTGACATAAATAAGGCATCAAATTGTTAGGCACTCCGTGCGGATCTTCGCCGATCTCTCCGGACTCGTGAGCGCCGACGGGATTAAAGTATCGCAAAGAAGCCACAGACCATCCCTTCTCTGAAACGCAGAGATCTTTAAGTATTTCTTCGATGAAGTATTTGGTCTTTCCGTATGGGTTCGTGCAGTTCCTGCCCGTCGGATGGCTTTCATCGATAGGCAGATAGTCTGCAGAGCCGTACACTGTGGCCGAAGACGAGAAGATAAACTTCTTGACGCCATTCCTCTTCATGATGTCGAGCAGAGTGACGGTTCCGCCGACGTTATTGCGATAGTAGGCCAGAGGTATTTGACACGACTCTCCCACAGCCTTGAGGGCTGCGAAATGGATGACTGCATCGAATTTGTTGGCACCGAAGATGCCATCGATTGTCTTCTCGTCAGAGATGTCCACCTTATAGAAGGCCTTCAACTTCTTGCCCACAATCTGTTCCACTCGTCGCAGACTCTCTGGTAGAGTGTGATGACCTGAAAGAGTGGCACCGTTTTTGGCCAAACCATTGGTCTCGTCGAGGATGACAGCATTGCTGCAGTTGTCGACCGCCACCACATCGTAGCCATTCTTCATGAGCTCCAAAACACTATGAGATCCCACATAACCGGCCGCTCCCGTCACGAACACTACACCTTTGGTTGCCATCAATGGATTGGATTGGGACGGGATGTGCTCTGTATGAGAGAAACCCATGAATGGCATGATTAGTGATAATGAACTTGTTTTTGGCATTCATTACAAAGTGATCACAACTTGACTTACGTTTCAAATGACTCTCGCTTTCAAACAAATGTATAAATAAAAGCTAATTATTGACTCGTTTTACAGGTTTTGTATGAATTGAATGTCAAA